ATGTGGACATCTCGCAATGCATGATTGTCATTCATCTTGGTGAACGCTAGATCGCCCATGTTGCGAGTGCATTGTGGTCCTTGTCCTTGTTGGCAAGCGGTGCGTGTGTGTGAGAGCCTGTTGATCGTTCTTGCCCACGAGCGCTTTCAAAATGATTCAACATGATTAACTGCTTAATTAATTAATTACGCCAATAATTAATGGCCTACCAAATTCTCTGCATGTCTAATTAACAACCAACCAAATCAATTAATGATTTGCTTAATTGGGAAAATCCCTACTTCTAATTATCTGTAGGCATAATTAAATGTCTACCTAATTAATTAATTGCATTAATGACTCGATTTCCAAATTGATTTGGTACAATTTTTTTCCTATTTAAATAGCCAAATTAATTGCGTACATAATTAATTATCTAGCTACTTAATTTCGTTGATGGTTTGATTTTGAATTGATTCAATGCTCGTTTTCCAAAATATATTTGCATGAATGATTGCTAGGAACGACGACGGTGACTACTGGGTATTTTCGGAAACATTTTCTTAACGGACTTTTTGTTATTTGAATGGACACACTTGATTTGAGAATGTAGCATGTCTGACTCTTAGTACGACTGGCATGAAATATAGTACGACTGTGTCCATGAATGCGTGTATGTGACGGTCCGATGACTGGTCTTCGGCCATGGCCATCCTCGATGTCGCGATCCAAGCCCTTGCATTGTCGAGAATCACGCCCGCGTCAAGCCCAGACACTGCGTCCTCCATGGTGTCGCGCACGGCGTCCCTAAGCAGTGGCGCACGGATGCGTATGCTCATAATAAAAAATACATGTTATTTTTGTTGTATGAGCAAACTTGTGATTGTCAATTAATAGTAAAGATAATGATAATAATAAGTGGCATAGTGCGCGGAATAGGGATTTGTTATTGAGGAATATTTGATTTTGTTTTGGAAGGTTATCAAGAAAAATTTATGTCTATACTTTAGAAAGGTGATCTCACATATATGGTGTGATTTTTGAATTCTGAATTATCTATTATTTACATGATTGAATTAAAGCAGTACCTGCCAAAGCAAGCACGAAAACAAGATGTTCCCTTTTAATGGGATTTGGTTTTTACCAGGAGGGAGAAAATCAAGTGGGAAGGGATGGTGGGAGGTGAGATAAAAAAACCGGGCGAAAAATAGCCAAATAAAAATAAACCACGGAGGGGAGACTACCAACTCCCATTTAGGAGTAGAGGTTTTTGTAATCTCAACCGATGCGGCACAAAGCAAAAACCTAGTATATAGAGTAACTTGAAATAATCGGAACCAAATCGATACATTTATTTCCTTGTCCTACTCTTTCCCTTAAAACAAAAAAATAACATTCATTAATTTATGAAAAGTATCATCTAGAGTTGGGCGAAAAAATCATGTTAATTATGTGGAGTATGATTCTTCTTCGATTTTGACTATAGCACGGGTACCTTAATTTAGGGAAATTACCATTTATGTGGGCTCCTTCTATAATCTCTCGCTCCCTTTTCATTATCTTCATGTTCTACCACACGATCTAACTTCATGACGTCGATGTGGGGCGAGTCGTAGGAGAAAAAAAACGCTCACGGCGTCTCTGTTGAGGCTAGTGGCAGAGCCAGCTCGGCCAACGAGCGGGGGCAAAATACACGGGGCTTCTGTCTGCCAGTATTTTGCCCCTACAAAAATGATGGTAAGCTCTCTATTTACTGCTAGTGTTCATACGTGAATGCATGGCCTTGGGTAGTCAGGAGGTGGCTCCGTCACTGGTTGAGGCACTGGCAATTGATTTTGAGTCACTAAAATATGTTTGTCTCTGTTGCAAGGCACTCACAATTAGCTAGTTGCATTAACGGCTATGTTTCCAAATTGATCCGACTCTCAATTTTTGAATTGTTTTTTATTAATGACTGTTTTTTTTTTCGAGGATACGCAAATTGCGTACCTTAGCTTTATAGAAGGAGAGAAATGAGACTTACAACAACGTCAACCATTCGTTGCGGAGAACGAAAGTGACCAACTCCACACCCGGTTCGTACAAGGACAACCAAACACAACAACACGGCTACGACACAAGAAGCCTACCCAACACCGAGCCCCTAGCCGCGTCTCGGCCGACACTGAAGACCTCCGAAGAACAGCAACTCCAGCTTCCTTGGAGTAGCCAGCGACGACCGTACATGGCGCCGAAGGAGAAAGATCCGGGTAGCGGTGAACACCAGAGGAGTGCATCATGGGACCTCGAGTCTCCCAGCACAATGCACCCAACAGAGTAACAACCTCAAAGACGTTGCCATCATGCCGATCCTACGAATCAAGGCTTTCGCCCCGGAGACAGCTGCCGATATGAAGTCGCAAGGAAGATGGCGTAGCACTCGACGAAGCCTCCATGAAGGTGAATGACACCCGCAGGTGCCATCAACGCCGGTCCGGCCACAACCGAACAGGATTTTCATCCGTAGCTCTGCACATCTCCAAGTCTCCAAGATCCCGGCCAGTCCCGATCAGATGCCTCGCACCGCCGCCGCCGCAACAACTTGCCATCGAACCCCCCCTCACTGCTGAGGAAACACGCCTAAAGCCATCACCTTCAACATCGACTAGGAGCCGCAGCAACCACCGAGCGGTGCAAAGCCAGTTCCGCCACGGACGCCTTCACCCACGCCAGGGGACTGCCACCAGGATGAATCCGACCCGCACCTCCGACCACCCTCCGGCACCCACACCGCCCAGGCAACGCCGCACGCCTCACATGGCAGCAACCGAACGCCCGCTGCCCGCCAAGACCCTTCCTGGCAAGGCCTCGCAGCGCCGCCGCCGCCATGGCTGCGCTCGCACCACCGCCACCGCCAGAGCCGGTGCACCACCTACATCCTCCAGCCTGCTACACTCCACGCAAGGATCCAGAGACAACCGCCGCACTCCCTGCCGTGAGCACCCCAAGGACGCCGGCCAGCGCTGAAGACGCACCAGATCCGGACCGAAAATGGATCAGCCCGCTCGGATCTGGCCATCCACGACCTCCCTCGCGGCGAGGAGCACCAACCCGCAGCCGGCCTGCGCCCTCCACAGGACTCGCCGCCGCCAGACTGCCGTGCCGCCCCGCACCACCTCCCGCCAGCACTCATCCATCCGCCGCGCCGGCCACCGAGGTTCGACGCCAGGCTGAAGAAGCGGCCCCGTCGGCCTGCGCCCGCGACGCGCCGCCACCAGACCGCCGCGACGCCCTGCACCACCTCCCGCCAGCGCACAACCCTCTGCCGCGCCGGCCACCGAGATCCGCCGCCAGGCCGAAGAGGCGGTCCCCCACGACCACCGCTCCAGATGAGGGCCATACGAGTCCCGCCGC